AAGTAATAGGAACATTTCTTGCTTTTATCCAATCAGTGTTTACATGGAGTTCATGTGCATATTTACTGTATATTTCTGTGTAGAAAACAACCTTTAAATCCCATCTTTAAAAATTAGGGGTTGTTTTATGCTACAATTCTAAAAAAGAAACCTTAAATTCTGAGTGATGTTTGTTGGTAGACTAACCGTGGCCTTGGTGTGATAACCAATAATGTACATGAAAAGATTTACATTATCAAATAAACTGATAAAAAAAGTAATAAAACCATTTCTACCTTATATATTACTGGCATAACTTCATAATAAATTGCCTATTTGAAGAATAATTCCATATCAATGAAATCAACTTGTATCCATGTAAACTCAGCTGAAAAAATGTAAGCATTGAGTTATGACTGTGAATAAAAAAATGTTGAAAGTGGAATATACTATTATTGTACATTATTGTACTATTATTAGTGGTATTTTGAGATTGACAATGAAGTAGAAGTAAATGGCCATTAGTACACTAGGCTGTTTGTAGCTGTTTAGATATAGGAAAAGAAGAAGAAGAAGAAGAGTCAGTATTTGCAAGAGATCACCTGATGAAATATAAACAAAACAATGGTTTGCCTTTTAGTGGACGTGTGTAGGAAAAACATGATATGGAATTGGTTTTGTTATTTTGTTTATTTTAAATTTCTAAGGATACAGTAACAACATTTCTAATAACATTATCTTTATATAATCAATAAGCAGTTGTCTTTTACTACAGGTATAGGATAAATTCATGAAAATTTGCTATATTTTTTGACTTCACGTTATATGTGGAAATATATGGTAGTTTTATTAAGTTCTTTGCAGAAAAAAAACTCTTTATACAAAACTAGAGACTAAATTCACCTGTGTTTGTTGAGAGCATTTGCACATAGCCAATAATTAAACTGTACATATGAATCTGAGAAGAATGCTTGTAATAACCACCCCTTCTGACGAGCTGATTATATACTTGACAGAGGGTAACTTTCTTTGATTGTCGTAAAAAGGTTGTATTAGATTATAGGAGCTTTAAATTCATTAAGAAACTTTCATAGTAAATAGAGACTAGAAGTAGAAAATTTGATTAAATGTCTTTTGTGCCCTTGAAATAAAAAGCAATAACATGAGACAAGAGAGGGCATTCAATGGCAAACAACTAGATTGTTGACAGAGATAAAAGGAATGTACCATTTTGGTAATAAAGGTTTTAAGAGTGCTTAATCTGGTTAAGTGCCGGTCTGCGTGTATAAAAGTGTGATTGAGAAAGAGGACAGAACCACTGCGATAGCTGAAGTACAAATTGGTGGCAGGATATTTTGACTATAGGACTGGTTTCCCTGATCAAAAAATTGATACAGGTTCAATTCCTGCTGGGAGGCACAATTTTTCTTTAGTAGGACTTCTCAATGTAGGCTGGTTGTTAATAATTTCACTGTTTAAGAAAAATAAAAACAGGGATAGCACTCTAAGCATGTGTACTCACTAAAAATAACCTTTATAGTTAAATATTTTTATAGATATATTATTATAAATATATTACTAAGACAGTTTATAGTAATATATATATATATATATATATATATATATATGTATGTGTGCGTCTGTGAATAATAGTATCCAAAACAAAAGTGAAGATAAGAAGACAAAGTTGGTAAGCTATAAACAATGTGTTTTACCAACAACATCTGCTACTTTTGGCTTCTTCAGGTTAGAATGAAAGACAAAACTGTGTGTAAGGAAAATATGTTGGGATCTCTGAGGATAAACAGAGTGGGGTCTATAAATTAGATTACCTTATCAGATCTGAAAACAAGAAACCAGAAAGTGTCTACTTGTTTGTTTATATATATATATATATATATATATATATATATATACATACACAAAAAATATCATTTTTTTATGTTTCCAAAAGAATTACTTAACTAATTTTCCCCAACTTCACAGTTTTGTGATAGTATGTCTCTTTTCAAGGGGTTAATCCATATATTAAATATTTCCAATTGTAATGAATATCCATTTTTTTTCATATTTGTGTCTTTTTTTTTTTTAACTCCATTAAGGATGTGTGCAATATCATGTTTTTACATGTGCTCACATATTCCTTCATAAACGCAATTGTTTTTCAATTGTATATTTTGTAATTCATAAACATAATTTTATAATATTATCACAAAAAAGTAGGGTTATGGAAAATTACAGTTAGTAAGTAATTCTTTTGTATACATAAAAAATAATTTTATCAATGCTCTATTTTTTATTATATATATATATATATATATATATATATATATATATATATATATATGATAAAAGTTACTTAATTTGACCTTTAGTTGCTTTCACAAATTAAAGTTTCATCTGCAGATTTATCATTACTTAAATGTGTATTTTATATCAAACAGTTTTTTGTAATGTTAACTTTTGTTGATTTGACACACACACACACATATATTTCATACAATATTTTGTAATTATAATTTCTCCTCTATCTGTGGGTTAAATAGTAGGGTAGACTAGGTTCTTTAGTCTTGGTTGGAAGCCAGTCTAGGAGAAGCACTCTGCAGAAAGTAACAGAAAACCACGTAACTATCTTTTCTAAGAAGTTATAGCAATTCAATATTAATAATAATCTGTGGAGAGCCATGATCGCATACATCTTCAAGGTATTAAAAAATCTAATTTCTAAAAAAATAAGATAAAATAAAATAAACCTTTTCTTTTTATCATAAGCGTCATGACATTATTTCTTGCTGAGTGTATTAAATAATCTCATCGGCTTTTTGTGTTGTGTTGTTAAAGAGAAAGTGAAGATGAAAAAGAAAGGAAAAGTAACCTATAAGACGATTATTAACGAAGTTTACCGATGACGTAAAAATGACGTCATATGTGAAATCGATACTTTAAGTTCTAATTATTAGGTGTTCACATGCGAGTCTTTAAATATATTTATTATAATTCTGCTTGGTTCCCTGGTTAGCACGTGCGTTACGCCCTGCCAATACGCCATGAATATTGGACTATTCTGTTTTGATCGCGAGGAAAGATGGAAAAGCCAAGTCAGAGATGCTGTGCGGTTTTAAAGAAAGAAAGGGAAGTTAGAGGCAATAACGCTCTCACGCGTTTAACGTTTGCTTCAGTGAGGTTTTTCCAAGAAAATTTTTCTTCAAACGTTAATGGCCCGACAGTTGTGTTAAAAAGCAACAGAAAATAAGATAAAAGAAAGCCTCATCAAAAATGTATAACAACTGACAAAACGCTTAATTTAAGAAATTCACAAATTGATTTAAATACGACAGGAGTGAAAGAAGCTGCGTGATATGATAAAGCTTCCGGTTAAGAATTTTGAACTTAAACTTTCTTTCATCCCTTGCCTTGTAAAAATAAACAAACCTGTGCCAAGTTAGTAATTATTAATTAATTATTCCGGTACTAAGAAGTGTTTTTTTTTTCTTCATAAAGTCTGTATTTATCGTCTGTTCCGATCAGAGGTGAAATTGCGGTCACAAATGAAATATGTACAGGTTAGCCAAGTAGAAAATTCTTTTAGTTTCACGTTTTTTGTTTTTTTTATCTTAACCGCTTATATTAAATTGTTTATTTTTTTTTAATCGAAATGAATTTAGAAAAAAAAAAAAAACAATCTCGTGAGTTAAATGCTACGAGTGGCTATACAAAAGGATAAAGCCAGAGTAAATCGACAGTTATGTTTAACATACTTATAATAAACTAGCAGTAGAGCCCGGCATTGCCCGGGGATGTAACAGTAAGAGATAGATCAAGTATCGACCGTTTTAATTATTTTTTTTTTGTTTCGTTTTGTTTTTTTACAAATTGGTCAAACCCAAACACAAACCCAAAATCAAACAAAAACATTGTTTTCAATCGTTATGAGTCTACCGATTGAATAGAATTTTATAAACAATTGTCTTGTAAATGGAATTTTTAAAGCATTCTGAATGTAAAAATAAGGAAAAAAGTGTGCAAGACAATAAGAAACACTACCTGCCAAAAAAAAAAAGAAGTGAAGTTTTGTTGAAATCGGTTGAAAAATGTAGGAAATCCGATCTCATATATAAACGAACACACACACACAAACAACCTGGGTTTTATAATAAGTATAACTTGATATGAGTTGTCCCCCTTTCATTCTCGCGATACCTCTTAATCGTGTTTTCAAATTGATTTCATGCAAAAACAATTGTTTTTCCAATTTTTGGCACTGTTAGAACCACCGCAAGGTAATTTTACGTAGTCCTGTGAAGTTTTGTTGAAATCGGTTGAAAAATGTAGGAAATCCAATCCAATATATAAACGTACAGACACACACACACACACACACACACACACACACACAATCTGCGTTTTATAATAAGTAAGATTAGAATTGTTTTTGCTAACAATAGGAGAATATCTTGATGGTGAGATAACATAGTAGAAAAATCACTGACTCAAATTTGATTCTGTAAGAAAAAGAAATTAATGAAGTGAAGCAATTTTTTTAAAGGAAAAAGAGGATTCAGCAACCCAATTGCCATTTTCATTTTTCACTTGATATTTCTTACCTATTTTAATTCTTCAAGATTATGTTTTATTACTGCTGTACGTAAGCACCCAAATAAGTTCACATTCAAAACTAAATATTTCGAATATGAATGGGCGTCAAAAAATATTTGAGAATGTTGATTGGAAACGAATGCCATATTTCGGCAATGATTTGCATCAGAACAAGCGTAAGAGCAACACAAGAAATCACAATTTGATTTGAGACCAACATCGATCTGAGATACACCCCAAATAGTAGGTTACTCTTGCGAACTGTTGCAAGTGAATTCAACAGTTTCATCACCATTTGGGGAAACCCACAGTCATAGACCTGTGTTAGATTAAGCTTTGAAGATGTTGACTTCACATCTTGAAAATAGGTTAACCAAGAAAATGCTTAGTAAATAGATTATATAGCTCTATAACCGTGTGTGTGTTCATAGGGAAAAAGGATAAAGAGAAAGAGGCAGATAAAGAAAAAAAGATGAGAAGAGCAGAGAAAGAAAAGGTTGAGGAGAAGACAAAGAAAGAAAAAAGATCTAGAAAGACGCAGAGAAAGAAAAAAGATCTAGAAAGAAGAAAAAAAAGATCTAGAAAGAGACAGAGAAAAAAAAGATAGGGTGAGGATCAGAGGAAAATGTTAGCAAGAGAAGTAGAGAAATAGAAAGCGGGGGGGGGGGAGAGGAAGAAGAGCGGGGAAGTCAATAATAACCAGAAAAAGAAATATGTAGTTTGATAAGTCAATGTTTTTAATTAAAGTTGACAACTTGTGAAGCAACTTTGTGTCAATAGGTAAACTAGATTTCGGTAGCTAAAAAATAATACTATTAGGAATGCTTTTTATTTTATTTCCCTTGAACCCAAATTTTTCATTCGCTTTATTTGTTAAGTAATACTAATAAAAGAACAGTGATGTACACAAAACAATTTCTTTATATAATGCATCTCATTGTATTGTAATAGTTATCTCGTTTAAAGGCAAGAAAGTGTACGTGTACTCTCATCTAAGATTATGAAACGATAGTAAATTTAGGTTATGTCAAAACATACACCAACTAGGTTGCGACCTTTTCTCTTTATCTGCAGCACTGTTTGAACAAGGTAAGTTTATCGCATATACAAAATAAGCCAAAAATACAGGTAAATACTTAGCAGATTGTTACGGGCATGGGAGTCACGTTTTTTAGAGTGTGCGACCTGTTTCACATTGTTTATCATGTTCTCGATTTTTTTTTTCGATCAAGTTTTCTTCCGTCTTCTTTTTTTTTTTCTTTTTTTTTTTTTTTTTTTTAACTTTGGTTACACAACCAAGACTGCAATTCCACAGGAGGTCAATGTTGTCCTTTCAACAAACAGACGATTATTACACGGTCTGACGAGAAATAAGATATTGCTCTTTATAGTTTTTCTTATAGCATTTTTTTTACTAAGCGTGGCTTAAATGTGGCACAAGGCCGAAAGAATGAAGCACCCAGTGAGGATTGAACTCACTACTCAGTTGTAGTTTATCTTATAAATACATTTTTCCTTGTTTACAAGAGAAACAAAACGAAAAGAAGAAAAGTTTGAATTTGATTTTTTTTTAAATATGAAGAGTAATTAAAAGTTAAAAACGGTAATCGGTATTAGTTTAGAAAATCGGTATTAGTTTAAAAAAACTTCATACGGATGACTTTAAAAATAGTGTACAAAAATAATTTTATATTAATAAAAAAAGTTACATTAAAAATTATATTTTCAAGGCGGAGATAGTTTGGGAAAGGTTAGACCTCTATAATATGTCTTATAATAAAACCGATTTTTTTTCTTTTTTGCAAGAAACAAGATTTCGCTCCAGAAGCATTCACGTAATCCAATCTAGCTTGAAAGAATGAGGGAGATTTCTGAATATGTTTACCTTAAAATTAGCCCTAAATTTTGCCAAAAAACGTTGCGTCTAATGCTGCTGTTTTTTGGATAAGTCTAGAAGACGACATGTTCATTACGTTTCTTCATAACGACTTCACGATTTGGAATTAAAATTTGGTAAATTTTCTGGCTACTTGCTATCGTTTCGGAAAGAAAAACATAATACGTCAATTTTTTTCTCAATTTCGACGAATCTTCAAAGTCTTTTCCCAAAAATTCCTTATTTCATGCCGTCATTCCTTAATTTCTCTAAAATAATTTTAATTAGTTTTTAGAATAATCACTGGAGTTTTTTTTTTCTTCATGAGAATGTCATAAAAATAAAATGTGTTTGTCGTTTGAATCTATTTTCTTTCCTTTAATTATGCTCTTCTTTTCTTATCTAAATCTAGTAAAGAATGTTCTATATTTAGATTTCTTCTCATGACTGATTACTTGGACACTCACTTATATTTAGGCTAGCGTGAGAAATCCTGATGAACGGAAAATGCCATCGTTTTTCGCATCTTGACCAAAAATAACTTGTGTTCGTTTTTATTTGCTTCTATTCACACACCTACTGATTATGAACGGAGAAAAAAAATCGTTTATTTTCTTTCTCGTTCTAAATATTTCTTGTTTAGGTTACGAATAAACTCAGGATAGACAGGCATTAAAAATTTAAATACATAACCTGCTTTTAAATAGAACTACATTAAAAACAGTCATATTTTTTTTGTAGGAGTGGAGAAAATATTTTTAACCTGACGTTTGTTATATTTTTAATTCAAACCAAAAATAGCGATAAATATCTTCCTAAAGCTAAAAAAAAAACTTTGAAATTTTCCCCGATCTACTTTCTTTCAAACAATAGATATTATTATATATCACATTCCAACTAATTTAGCTTTTTGCAAACCAAGACATTAAATGCCTATTTATTTAAAAATAAATAAAGCTAAAAAAAAGAATTCAATTCAAGTGAGAAAAAAAGACATTCTTCCTCTACTTTTTACTCATTACTGAGATTTATATAAATAAAAAAAAAACTATTTTGAATGAGATAAACTGTTTATCTCATTCGAAATAGATATGTATTCTTTCTCTGTCGTCAATCTATTGTAAAAAGTATTCATACGAAGTCTCATTATCATCTACTGGAGCTTTCCATTAGCTATCTTTTTTTTTTATTATGCACAGAGCGGCTTTCTTAGCTAAAACTGTTTCACTTGTAACTGAATAAAAATACATAAATCGTCATAAATAGATAACATTTGGGTACAAAGAAATATCTTGCAAGTCTCCATCTTGATGCCAGAGATGTATCGCCATGCAACACTAGCCTCTATTTTTTTCCTGGTAAATTGAGGTTGACCGTGAAAGTTCGACAGTGCTTGTTTCAAAGTCGACCCAGACAACAACAGCATTAACGAAAAGGGCGGTGGTTGACAATGACACTGTGCGCATACTAGAGTTTCTCTAGTGGTGCAGTCGTTGTATATTTTTAGGCGATTGTTATGTGCTAATGAGAGAGAGAGAGAGAGAGAGAGAGAGAGTTTGGTTTGTGAATTTATCTGATAAGAGATTTAGTTCAAAAGTTTACGTTTTTAACTTTTATAACCTTTGTTGATAAAGACGAATTTTATTTTTGCTTCAAAAAAGAAACCAAGAAAATAAAATGTAATAGTAATTTGATACAAAAATTTGTGCTAGTTTCTTGTATAACCCGTATACTCGTGTACTTGTAGTGTCTGAAACCGACACGAATGTGCATCAATAAATCCGTAACCTGATATGGAGACATGAGCTGATTTCTGATCTGAAATTTTTGCTGTACGATTAGGTACAGAAAAGTTATCGGCCCTAGTAACCATTCTAGATAAATAAATAATTCTGAAGTTTGGTTTTCCTCTTGTGAAATGGATCGGACTTTGTTCGATCTTTGTGATTTACGAGAAAATTTAGTGCATTTGAAAAACTAATTGGAAAATTCATATTTGTTTACCTAATTGTTCAGACTGTTGTCCTCATATTTGTTGTCATATTCACGTTTTGTCCGAAACTTTGTGAATATGACAATAAAGATGAGGACAACTGTCCGGGCAATGTAAATAGGGTAAATAGTTCACAAACAATGTAGCTCATCTCAGAAATATAGGCAGGCATATTTGTTTATATTCCATCATAAAGTTCGGGCTGATTAATTTGACTAAGTGTTATATAATAAAGATGACAATTGTGGATTAAAAAGCGTTGTTTCGTGAATTTTGTGACATAGCAATTGTGAGTACAATCCCTGCGCCAAGCCAGATGCAATGGAAACATAGAGAATAATAATCAAGCAGTACTAAAAATAAGAACTAAACGAGATTTCCCTAGACATGGACAGTGGACTGGAACGTATGTTCAGTTCGAAATTTCCCTGAAGGTTTAGCCTGTTCGACATATACCTGATGAATCCAGAGTGCACAACGGCCGAAACGTTGTGATAACAACAACAAAGATGAGGATAATAGTTCGCATGTAAATAGCGTTCTCAGATGTCTGTTTAATTCCATAAAGTTCGTTATTTATTTCATGTTAATGATGTTTTTGTTCAGCCCTTTTTTAAGGTATGTGTCCCGTGTCCGTAACCCGAAATCACGAATACAATCTCTTTTTTTTCCATATAAATAGAACAGCATTAAAGAAAGAGTTATTTAGTTCAAAGCTTTAAACAAAAATCATTCTTTAAAAAAAAAAATGTGTAGTTGATGATTGTTCAAGGGTAAAAATGTTTGTTGGACAATGTAGCGAATTTTAGCACATAGACAACGGCGTCACAAAGTTGGGAAAATAAATTTAAGAGAGTTGGTGCAGAAAGTACACGAATTATACAAGAGATCCCCCCCAAAAAAAAATTGTTTCAAGTTACTATTAAATACATTTTATTTTCTTGGTTTGTTTTTTTGACGCAAAAATAAAATTCGTCTTTCTTTTTATCAAAAGTTACAAAAGCGTAACATTTTTTGAACTTATCTCTAATCAGCTAAGTTCACAAGTTAAATTCTTCTCTCTCTCTCTCTCTCTCTCTCTGTACACTAAGCACATCAGCCAACAATAATCACCAGAAATATACGACGATTGCACCAGCAGAGAAACCCTAGTATGAACACAGTGTCATTGTCAATCACTTGTGGAATGACTGACTGTTGTCCTTGTGCCCTTTTCGTTAATGGCTGCCTGGGTTGACTTTGAAATAAGCACCGTTGAACTTTCACGGTCAACCTCCATTTGTTAGAAAAAAAATAGAGGCGAGTGTTGCATAAGTAGCAAGACATCTGACATCGAGATGGAGACTTGCAAGAGATTTCTTTGTACCCAAATGTTATCTATTATGACGATTTATTTATTTTTTTTATGCAGTTACAGGCGAAACATTTTAGCTGCTAAGAAAGCTGTTAGTGTCGTGTGTGTAATAAAAAAAAGAAGATTGCTAATGGAAACCTCCAGTTGTTGATAATAAGACTTAGTATGAATACTTTTTTTCTCGTTCGAAATAGATTTTAAATGATAAATCTTGGTATACAGTGGAACAGACGCAGTATAGAGCAGCGTTTCTCAACCGGTGCAACCGGACTCACTCTTGTGATCGGAAACGAAGCCAGATGCGCCCCAAGTTAACAGAAAAATAATTTATGAATTATTTTCATTAAAAAAAAAAAATCATTATTGTTAAAAAGCTAGAGACACCAAGCACATGGCTTCCATTAATTCAAGTCTTCGTTATATTTTTAAACTGGGTGCTAAATTCCTTAATCTTTAAGGTGTGGATAATCCTACCCCTCTTTGTCTTCCTCATGGGATTTGAGAAAAATAGCAGATTCTTCATAAATCTCTTTAAATTAAAACTGAATTGGTAATCTTCTCTGGGAATGCTTAACCAAAATTTCGTATTTTCAAATTTCATGACTAATTTTTCCTGATTAAAATTTAAAATGCACCTAGGAATTTTAATTATTCTACAAGTGCACCCTGAAGTAAAAAAATGTTGAGAGTCATTTGGACAAGTATATCAACCATTTCTCCTCTCTTGTGTCTGTTTCAACGAGTGAGCCTCTAGTTAATTATAATATGTACGTGATAAATGTGTGTTAAGGGTTATTTAAGTAAATTTAAACGACTTCCAGTGTAGGAGGACTAGTTGTTTTCTGACAAAAATATCAAGTGGAATGTTTGTATTTATTTTTAGCTAAATACGTTGTAACGACTGTTTTTCCTTTTTTTTTTAAATTTGCCCTGAGTGAAGATAGCAAAGTGTAACAACAACAACAACGTCATATTGCAAAGGATAAAATGACTTTGCATTGTTATAGTTTCGCTTTTCAAGTTTTAGGATTATTGATGACTATTCACTGTGAGATAAACTAAAAAAAAAAAACCTTTAATATACTTTTTATTACTTTATTACGATATAAGAAGAAGAGCATCAGGAACAGTACAAAGACTTCCTGAATTCATGTACAGTAATTATGAAAGTCAATCGCCATCTTTTATGTGCCATGTCCGTTTAGGACGTGGGCCATCATAATTCTCCAAAACTTTCTATCCTTTCTAACTTTAAGCAATATTTGTCTTTGTCTCCCAGTGCCCGTCTGCCATCCATTTACATAACCTCGTTAGATCGGTGACTTGATGTTTCTATCTGATAATGTTGCCTTCAATATGTCCTGTGAGTGACAAATTCACCTAGCTCTCTTTCCTCATTACGTGTCCCCAAAATTTCAACTCTTTCTAATTTTAAGTAGCCTTTTTGTTTCCCATTTTCCTTTGTTGTGCAGCGAATAGCTTAAAAACATTTATTTACGCGCGCGCAAACACATATGCATTAATATGAATATAAATAAACAGCATATCAAAATTCGTAGGTATGTTGTATTGTTTTGATAGCAAAGTTGTCACGGCACCATGGTTGCAAACAGCGAAAGTACTGCGTAGATAAGCTCAAAATTGGAATGTAAGATGAAGATGGTGTTGTTAATGAATGATAACAGTAACACTATCAGCAGCCGTAGCAGCAATAGATGGAGTAACTAGTAGAAACTGTACTATAATTGCACAATAAAGTAAACACAGCTACTGCGTCGCGTTTAACAGCGAACGGTTCGGCTGCTTGAAGATATTACGTAATAGAAATATTCATAGGTATATATCGAGTGGTCAGTGTATATATATATACATCTGTTGATATGTGGTGTATTTAATTACGCTAAGAATTCGGCCAGGTGCGTGTCTAAGTATAACGTTAATTCTAACAATCAATATTTTAAAAACATTGATACACAATTACGGAGGGTTTTTTTTTTTTTATTTCGGCAGATGCTGAAATAAAATAAAAAATATTGAATTTTTTCGAATCTGAAATATATTTCTGCCGAGAGTTAAGTGCCAGAGTCGCACTGAGCATATTTTTCCAAGTTCAATCTATTGTTTGAATCAAAACATTTTGTGTCAAGACGATAACCAAACAGATTTAAGGACACTGTATTTCTCAAGCAAGTACAACACAACAAACATATGTGTTATATATAGATACTAGATTTTTTTTTGCATCACGCTGATGCGTGTTGAAATTTTCACAGTATTTAGTATTGTTGAAGTTATCGCTAACATTTTTGTCGAGATTTACAAACTCTACATTTCATTCAATTTCACAAAACAATCGAGGAAATATAAAAAAACACTTAAAGAAAAGGCACGAAAAAAACAATATTGCTTTTTTATTAAATAAAAGTATTTGTTATTTTAATCATTATTGTTTTTAAAGTAGTGGGAGTAGTACTTTGTATGTTAAATAATAAAACTTTTAATTTTTCCCCGCCAAAACGAATGAACATTTATTGTACTAAGCTACGCACTCTCGTAAAACCAACTGTACTTTGTACCGCCTTACCTGTTTGTACTTATCCCCCAAATTTAGTTTCGATCGGTCAATGTCTGGCTAATTTAGAGGGTATAACAGATAGACTAACGGTTAGTCATAGAATTTTATATATAGATGGTAAATATATAAGAAAATTTGGAAACGTTATACTTTTAGTTTTGTTTGACATGTTTCGTCAATGAATCGACGTATATTAGAAAAAGAATTTTATTTTACAAAAACAAAACCGACACAAAAAAACATATTCACCTGAAGTGGTTGAATGTCTGAGTTTTATTTTATAATGTACACTGTACAGGTATTCCCAAAGAATTAATGAATTTATGTTTAACCTGACATTTTTATTACGTCAAACGTTATTTTCGGTGGATACCGGTATTTGAAATAGACGCCCCGTTTTTTAAAGACTGTGTAGTATTACGCCTATCGATCTGCGCATTCGAAAAATCTTAATAAAGAAAATTTGCACGGGTATCCACTAAAAATAACATTTGAAGTAATAAAAATGTATGTGTTTATAGTATATCCATATGTGTGTGCGTTCATATATTTTTTATATATGTTGGTATATACGAGGGTGGATCCATAAGATATTTTACACTAATGTTCATCCAATACAAGACTCAAGAGCCACTCAAGGTAGAGTGTTAC